TCCATTCTTTTTTGTCTCTAGATTGTGCCCCTTTGTAAACTGTACCGTTAAAAATCTAGTTTGGGTAGTTTATTGACTTAACACTAATTCGATCTTCAAATCTAACCCTAGCATTGACTTACTGAAGCTTCTCGGCAGCTTTTCAGTTGTTGCACACATACTCAAAGTTTTTGTTCTGGTGCTCGGTTGTTGGCAGGTTTACCACCAAGTTTCAAGATGCCACTAGTCAACCAGGAGGTGACGGAGGGCAACAGTGTGGTTCTGCACTGTGAGCTCAACAAACCTGCCCCGTCAGTGGAGTGGACGAGAGGAGGTGAGCCGCTAAAGAACGGAGACAAGTATCAGATGAGGAAGAAGGAGCTCCAGGTAGAGATGAAGATTGTGGACCTCAGTCTGGACGACATGGGAGATTATACATGTGTATGTGGTGACCAGACGACAACAGCAAGGGTCCTGGTGAATGGTGAGTTCTGAATTCAACAGTAGAGGGTGCATTTGGTTTCTTTTTTGCAAGTACTTGACCATATGTCTTTTTAAAAACAAGCTGATTTTAAATACAACTGACTTTATAACAGAGTTCAATCCCACAGAACTAAATTCAAAATAGACAATATAGAGTTTTTAAGTGAATTTCTGGGACACAACCTATTGTATGTATGAATGTTAACCACTGAACAAGCTGTATAACTGAAATATAAAATATATCAGTGCCACACGGTTACATAGCAAGTTGTAATCGGTTTAGAACAAATGTACCACAGTGGAGCTCATTATTAAATAATTCTGAATTCATTTTAATACAAGTTCAAAACTATTTCTTAATATAGAACAAAACGTTTTCTGAAAATAGTCTTAAAAACAACCCCCGGGTGTTGTGATATTTTTTCCACTGCATTCGGCAGAACTTTGAAACTGCAGGGCTTCTGGCGTAGCCTCTATCTTTGCAGCTTTTACATTTCTGTTGATTCTGTTTGATTGTTTGTGTTTTGTTTGCATTTACTCTGAAGAAAACAGAGGGTATGCTGCAGGAAATATATAATACACAAGTTTTTTTTACATTAACTATGTGACAGGTGTTTATCAATATGTTTTAATCATTTAGATGTTTTTCTTCCCCTCTCTAGAACGGCCCATTAAATTCATTCAAGAACTGAAAAATATCCAGGTGCAGGAAGGTAACGGGGTGACACTGTGCTGTGAGCTCTCCAAACCTGACACTCCTGTGCAGTGGAAGAAAGGAGACAGTGTGTTGACCAGCGGAGAGAAATACCAGACGAAGCAGAACGGCTCCACACTGGAGCTCCTCATCAGGAAAAGCCAGCCTGAGGACAGCGGCACATACAGCTGTGTTTGTGAAGACATGAAAACCACTGCCACCATCATCATCACTGGTTAGAGGCATGACACATTATAACACATGATGATGCTTTGATCATTTGCACATCTTTTATTGTATTTTCAATTTCCTCAGCAATTCCGGTGACTTTCAAGCAGAAGTTGAAGAACCAGGAAGCTGTGGAGGAGGGCAGTGTGATGCTGCGCTGTGAGCTTTCTAAACCTGGGGTCCCAGTGGAGTGGAGGAGAGATGCTCAGCTTCTGAAGGAGGGAGACAAATATCAGATGAAGCAAGAGGGCAGGATGGCTGAGATGCTGATTAGAAATCTAACCCTCACAGACTCAGCGGAGTACTGCTGCTCTGTTGGTACTGTAGTGACTTCAGCTGACATCAAAGTAAGAGGTAGGCTTCACTACAACCATGACACTTCTTAACCACAGTGAGATAGACTTGGTATATCATCGGACATAAACAAGGCAGATATAAGAATTATTTCTAATTTGGGATTCTGCTTAATTTGCTATTCTTTTTATTCTTTACAGCTCTTCCTGTAATATTTACACAAGAGGTTGAGAATTTGGAAGTGAAGGAAGGGGACAGTGGAGTTTTCTGTTGTGAGCTCTCCAAACCTGGAGCTCCAGTGGACTGGAGGAAAGGCAGAGTTGTCCTCAAACCTGGATACAAATATGAGATGAAGCAGGAGGGACGTCTCACAAAACTGATCATCAACAACGTGGAGGAGAGCGATGCTGGGAAATACACCTGCAAGACTAAAGATAGCCAATCAGCTGCTGAGCTCGCTGTCAAAGGTAAAATCAAGATCTGAAAATATGATTCGCTAAAGAACTGCTATGAAGTAACTGAGTATTTTCAGAGAAAATAGGCACTGACGATGCCTCTACTCTCTCCCAGCTCCTCCCATCACGTTCAAGATGAAGTTAAGGAACTTGCAGGTGGAGGAGGAGAGCAGTGTGACATTGACCTGTGAGTTATCTAAACCTGGCCTCGCTGTGGAGTGGAGGAAAGAAGAGGAGCGTCTGAAGAATAATTTCAAGTATCAGATCAAAAATCGAAACAGCATCATGGAGCTGACCATCAAAAACTCCCAGCTGGAGGACAGTGGACTCTACAGCTGTGTCTATGGTGATGCCAAGACCACAGCCAAAGTTGACGTTACACGTAAGGGAGTACTGCATGCAAATCTTTTTTTATGTTTAATTCTTTTTCGAAATTAAGAAATTCACTATATTTATATTTTGTGATTATGCAGGTTTAAAATATATGCATTTAAATTCAAAAACTGCAAAAACTGGATAGGTATACAAAATGGTGAAATATTTTTAAAGAAATCAATGATATTGTATAAAAATATTTTTATCTGCTAGCAAAACATAACATGAGCATTGATTTTTTTCGTCACCATGCACCCACAGCGATTCCCCTCACTTTTAAAATGGGTCTGAAGAACCAGGAGGCCCCAGAAGGAGGCAACGTGTCCCTTCGCTGTGAGCTGTCCAGGGTCGGGGTGCCTGTGCAGTGGTGGAAGGCTGAAGATCAGCTCTCTCATGGTGGGAGGTATCAGATGATGCTGAAAGGAAATGTAGCTGAGATGCATATCAAAAATGCCCAGCCAGAGGATGTCGGTCAGTACAGCTGTGTCTTTGGAGAGCAGAAGACTACGGCTGAAGTGAATGTGCGAGGTATTTGAAATACACCATGCCACTGTTAACACCTGAAAAATCACCCTGTGGGCTAAATATAACCCAAGATACACTTAACATCAAACCTATCCCACATAATTATGCTGACTAAATAGCATTGAAGTCCAGTGATTTGGTTCAGTAAGTGAGGTCAGTGTTTCTACGATCACTTCTATGATCATTTCTATGATAATCCAGTCAGTATGTACTGTTTTGAGTTCAAATCCCACTTCTGCAATATAATATCTCCCGTTTGTCTTTTATCAGCGGCCGCATCTGTATTCTTTGAGAAGGAGCTGGAGAACCAAGTGGTAATGGAGGGGAAACCAATGCTGTTGTCTTGTGAAGTTTCCAATGCTAATGTCCCTGTCACCTGGAAGCGGGACAACATCGTTGTTGAAGAAGGTGGACGATGCATTATAAAGAAGAACGGCGCCACGCACTCTCTGGAGATCAGGAAATTGCTTCTGGAGGATGCTGGAGAGTACTGCTGCAGCACCAGAGGCAAGAAGACCACCGCCAAGCTGGTCGTGAGGGGTAGGTGAAAATTGGAAATTCATCCCTCATTCTCATACATTTGGCTTCTTCATTACAAGAAGTGTTGCATGAAAAGAACTGACTGGCTGTTCTCATCTAACTCATTGTAAACATATCAGATTCCATCTCTAAAAATCCAGCTGCATATAGCTGCTTCTTCCTCCACAGAGCGTGTGCGGATTGTTACGGGGCTGCAGGACGTGACGGTGACAGCAGGAGAGGATGCAGTGTTTGTGTGTGAGCTGAGCCATGCTGATGTGAGTGAAGGTGTCTGGTGGCTCGGATCTAGCCCTCTGCAGAGGAATGAGATGAACCAGATGACGTGCCGGGGTCGTCAGCACCAATTGGTCCTCACCATGACAACACCTGAGGAGACGGGCACTGTGGCATTTGTGATTGGGGAAGAGAGGACCTCTGCTTGTCTGCTAGTGGTTCCTAAGCCCAAAGGTTAGAAGACACATGGGGACAAATAAAGTTTGCTTTTCATTAGTTAGATCTGCAATCCTGCACATCTCAAATTCCACCTTACAAACTCAGTGTTTCTCCTTTATTTTATGTGATTTCAAATTATAGTTTTATTCGAGGAGAATCCCAAAGATGTTGTGATCATGGAAGGAGAGACAGCCACTTTGTCCTGCACGATCTCTGACATTACCTCCACTGTTATCTGGAGACGGAACCATATTCCCCTTTGCAACAGTGATAAATATGAGTTACGTAAACAGGGAAAAGTCAACCTACTGCTTATCCATGATGTGGAGCCTCTGGATACTGGCATATACTCATGTGATACAGGAGACATGCAGAGCAGTGCCAAACTCAGCGTTACTGGTAAAATGGAAATAATTGGAATGCTAATTGTTATAGCAGCTATCTGTATTAAGTAATTCGATTAATCGAATAATACTATGAACTTCTACATCTTATTACTTCGAATGTCTGCAACCCTGTTCTTTTTCTCATCTTTTCCCAGAGCTCCCTCCATTCTTCCAGGAGGAACTGCAGAGTGTGGAAGTCATGGAGGGAGGTTCGGCCTCCCTGTTCTGTGAGCTGTCTAAACTGGGAGTGCCCATTCAGTGGAAAAAGAACAGACTGCCGCTGAGATCCAGCAGGAAGTACGAGATGAAGCAGGACGGCTGCCTCCTCCAGCTGCACATCAAGGAGCTCAGACTTGAGGACAGCGGCAGCTACACATGTGAGGCAGGAAGTGTAGACACCACTGCGACGGTGACAGTGAAAGGTGAGAGAAGCTGGATGTGTGCATAGCAAATTTTACTAGGTCAGCAAAAAGTAATGTCTTTGTCAGTTGTTTAATTGTGTTTCTGAAACTTAAATATTTTTTTGGAGACTTACATTTTTGAAAGAAAGCAGTTCCCACCCTTATATTCTCAAAAGCAACTTAATAAATAGATTTTAGTATCATAATTACATGCAGTCAATCCCACATAGTAGCATCAAGTATAGCACCTCTTATCTTCCTAGAATTGTCTGAGCCTGCTTTGACATGGAAATATTACATTCATTGTTACACTGTTTGCTTTTTTGTGGTGACATCTCACATAGATAGAAAGATGTCAAAATGATGTCTCATCCTTTTTCCCAGAGCTGCCACCATTCTTCAAGAAAGAGCTGAGAAGAGTGGAGGCTGAGGAAGGACGAGCAGCCTCCTTGTGCTGTGAGCTGTCTAAACCTGGAGTGTCAGTGCAGTGGAAGAAGAACAAATTGCCACTGAGAGCCAGCAGGAAGTACGAGATGAAACAAGATGGCTGCCTCCTTTATCTTCAGATCAAGGAGCTCACACCTGAGGACAGTGGCAGCTACACATGTCAAGCAGGAAGTGCAGAGACCAATGCGACTGTGACAGTGAAAGGTACATTTGAAGATTCATATGGCAAACGTTACAGTGTCAGCAATATCTAAATCAATTGAGTTATACATTTTTTTCTTGTCATTATCTGAATTATGATATGATATTGGGCAAAACACATCACACAAATAAGCCACATAAAACAACAAAATAATCTATTGCTTCTTATCTGTCTCAGAGCTCCCACCATTTTTCAAAGAGGAACTGCAAAATGTGAGGGCAGAGGAGGGATGTTCTGCCTCCCTGTCCTGTGAGGTGTCTAAACCTGGGCTGTCAGTGCAGTGGAAGAAGAACAAATTGCCCCTGAGAGCCAGCAGGAAGTATGAGATGAAACAAGATGGTTGCCTCCTCCAGCTGCACATCAAGGAGCTCAAACCTGAGGACGGTGGCAGCTACACATGTCAAGCAGGAAGTGTAGAGACCACTGCTACTGTGACAGTGAAAGGTGAGTGTGCATTTTGAAATTGAAAAGTTTTATGGTGTCAGAAAGCTCTAAATCGTGAAATGTTAAATACACAAATTTATTTTGAATCATTTAATATGACATTCATTGAAGCAATATTTTCGAGTGGGGAAAAAAAATCACTAATTTATCGCAAACATTTTCTAAATCGTATTTATTAATTGAGAATGTCTAAAATGCTGGTTCTCATGCTAAAACTCTTTAAATATTTTATTGTATTTCCCAGAGCTCCAACCATTTTTCAATCAAGAATTACATAATGTGGAGGCAGAGGAGGGAGGTACAACCTCACTGTGCTGTGAGGTGTCTAAACCTGGGCTGTCAGTACAATGGAAGAAGAACAGACTGTCACTGAGAGCAAACAGAAAGTATGAGATGAACCAAGATGGCTGCCTCCTCCAGCTGCACATCAAGGAGGTCAAACCTGAGGACGGTGGCAACTACACATGTCAAGCAGGAAGTGTAGAGACCACTGCAAGTGTGACTGTCAAAGGTTTGTGTGAATTGGGATTCTGACATTCGTTTTATTGATGTTTTCCTACCTAAACTATATTATAAACCCTCCAACTTAGAATATAGGGAGCCTGAAAAAAAGTTTTCAAAAATGTATGTTCTGCTGAGGTTTCAAGCATCCTCCACTTTATAGATGTTCAATGCTGTTTTGTCTTGCTTCTTTTCCAGAACTCCCTCCATTCTTCAAGAAGGACTTGCAGAGTATGGAGGCTGAGGAGGGAGGTGCAGTCTCTCTGTCCTGTGAGGTGTCTAAACCTGGTCTGTCAGTGCAGTGGAAGAAGAACAGACTGTCACTAAGAGCCAGCAGGAAGTACAAGATGAAGCAGGAAGGCTGCCTCATCGAGCTCCACATGGAGGATCTCAAACCTGAGGACAGTGGCAGCTACACATGTCAAGTAGGAAATGTAGAGACCACTGCAACTGTGACAGTGAAAGGTGAGTGAATTTGACTGAAAAGAAAACATTTTAGTATTTGCTCTGTGAGCTTTTAACCTCGTAACAAAATTGAGTTTTTTTCTTTGCCTGAAGTTTTTCAGGCGACAATGAGATAACAGCAACTCCACTATCTGTATTGCAGTCTGGTTGAAAAACTCATGATAATGTCTGCAAATGCATTTGTTAGATCTCAGACATAATTAAACATAAGATGCATGATATGTTTTTTTTTTTTATTCCTTACCCATTTTGCAGAGCTTCCATTATTCTTCAGCAAAGAATTACAAAGTGTTGAAGCTGAAGAGGGAGGTGCAGCTTCCTTGTCCTGTGAGCTGTCTAAACCTGAAGTGGCAGGGCAATGGAAGAAGAACAGATTGCCACTGAGAGCCAGCACAAAGTATGAGATGAAACAAGATGGCTGCCTCCTCCAGCTGCACATCAAGGAGGTCAAACCTGAGGACAGAGGCAACTACACGTGCCAAGCAGGAAGAGTAGAGACCACTGCTACTGTGACAGTGAAAGGTGTGCGCTTGTTGTAGTGTAATTAATTTACTGAGCTCTCGATGATAGGAGGATGTACTGCATCAAAGTTTTAAAAACCTAAATATTATTGTGTGAATTATCTTAAACTATGAATTTTCCACTGTAGCAAATTCCCCCAAAATGTAAGCGAAATCACACCATGAAAACTAAATGTATGTGGAGTGCTCATTTGGCATGCCTTCAATAATGTCATGTTCTTCTCTGTGCTGCATACCTAGAGCTGCTGCCATTCTTCCACAAGAAATTAAAAAATGTGGAGGCTGAGGAGGGAGGTGCTGCCTCCCTGTCCTGTGAGGTGTCTAAACCTGAAGTGTCAGTGCAGTGGAAGAAGAACAATCTGCCACTGAGAGCAAACAGGAAGTATGAGATGAAACACGATGGCTGCCTCGTCCAGTTGCACATCAAGGAGCTCAAACTTGAGGACAGTGGCAACTACACATGTCAAACAGGAAGTGTAGAGACCACTGCAACTGTGACAGTGAAAGGTGAGTGCATTTCACCAATGTGCAAATCAAATTTTACCATATCAACATACCCTCAAACCACAGAAAAGTAGTTTTACTGTCATTTAAATTCTGTTTTGTGAGTGACTTAAGTTTCTTGGAATCATTTTAGTTCAAACAAAGGAATTTGTACCCATCCACCATATAAAGACTTGTAGGGAGACACATCTGGAAATGTCATCGGCACATCAATTATGTTAAAAAATGTTCCCCTCTTTATGACAATGTTTCACAGAGCTTACCCCATTCTTCAAGAAGGATTTGCAGAGTATGGAGGCTGAGGAGGGAGGTGCAGTCTCCCTGTCCTGTGAGGTGTCTAAACCTGGTCTGTCAGTTCAGTGGAAGAAGAACAGACTGTCACTAAGAGCCAGCAGGAAGTACAAGATGAAGCAGGAAGGCTGCCTCATCGAGCTCCACATGGAGGAGCTAAAACTTGAGGACAGTGGCAGCTACACATGTCAAGTAGGAAATGTAGAGACCACTGCAACTGTGACAGTGAAAGGTGTGTGCATTTCCTCAATGTGCAAATTAAATTTTACCATATCAACATACCCTCAAGCCACAGAAAAGTAGTTTTACTGTCATTTTAATTCTGTTTTGTGAGTGACTCAGGTTTCTGGGAATCATTTTATTTTAAACAAAGGAATTTGTACCCATCCACCATATAAAGAATTGTAGGGAGACACATCTGGAAATGTCTTTGGCACATCAATTATGTTAAAAAATGTCCCCCTCTTTATGATAATATTTCACAGAGCTTACCCCATTCTTCAAGAAGGACTTGCAGAGTATGGAGGCTGAGGAGGGAGGTGCAGTCTCCCTGTCCTGTGAGGTGTCTAAACCTGGTCTGTCAGTGCAGTGGAAGAAGAACAATCTGCCACTGAGAGCAAATCAGAAGTATGAAATGAAACAAGATGGCTGCCTCCTCCACCTGCACATCAATGAGCTCAAACCTGAGGACAGTGGCAGCTACACATGTCAAGCAGGAAATGTAGAGACCACTGCAGGTGTGACTGTCCAAGGTGTGTTTGCATTTTCATAATGCTGTTTCAGGACATTTTTGTGTTACAGCTGCATATAATATCTTTTACAACACTTTCCTGTTGTCTTTATCTTACCTGGACTGTTTTGTAATCCCCCAAATGTTTGTCCCCAGAACTCCCTCCATTCTTTAAGAAGGACTTACAAAGTATGGAGGCTGAGGAGGGAGGTACAGTCTCTCTGTCCTGTGAGGTGTCTAAACCTGGCCTGTCCGTGCAATGGAAGAAGAACAGACTGCCACTAACAGCCAGCAGGAAGCACAAGATAAAGCAGGATGGCTGCCTCCTCGAGCTCCACGTTGAAGCACTCAAACCTGAAGACAGTGGCAGCTACACATGTCAAGCAGGAAGTGCAGAGACAACAGCAGCTGTGACAGTGAAAGGTGTGTGCTTGTTGGTGTTCGGGGTGTATGTACATGAATTCTAGAAGGAGTATATACTTTTTTTTAAATACTTACACCTTATCTGGTAGTGTCTCAAGTCATGTTTTGCTTTCTTCTACCCCACCTAGAGCTGCCTCCATTCTTTAAGAAAGACTTAGTAAGTGTGGAGGCTGAGGAGGGAGGTGCAGCTTCCTTGTCCTGTGAGGTGTCGAAGTCTGGAGTGTTGGTGCAATGGAGAAGGAACAATCTGCCACTGAGAGCAAACAGAAAGTATGAGATGAAACAAGATGGCTGCCTCCTCCAGCTGCACATCAAGGAGCTGAAACCTGAGGACAGTGGCAACTACACATGTCAAGCAGAAAGTGTAGAGACCACTGCGACTGTGACAGTGAAAGGTGAGTGGATCAAGAACAAATCAAGTTTCCATATTTTTTGACCAGCTTCCACCACAGATATTGTTGTTGAAATTGTTTCTCATTCTTTTACAAAGCGCTACAATCTACTGCACCAAAGACAGAGCCTCCCATGATACAACCTCGACGAAAGGGCTCTGTTTCCAACACAACTCCTTCTCCAGAGAATGAGAATTGTGGTCTCCCAGAGGCCAAACCTGTTCCTCCAGAGCCCAAAAAGAGAGCTAACAGGAAAGCATCTATTACAAATTCAGAAAAAGATGTGGAGCCAGTGATGGATGTGAAACAGTCTCTGCTGAGGGAGAATAAAGAACACCAAAAGGGAAACCAACTTGAAAAATCTATTGAGAACAATTTCGATGTTGTGCACAATATAACACAACAGGAGAAGAATGAAGAAAAAGTTGGTGAGGTGTTTAAGAAAGCTGATAAGTCTGTGAGTTTACTGGAGACTGATATCAGGCAGGTCGAAGAGCCAGGTAGATCTTTGGAATCAGAAACGGAAGTTTTCCTGGAGCAGAAACAACGAAGAAGGAATTCAGAGGGAATAGTTAAAGCTGACCTTGAATTACGTCAGTCAGAGAGGATTCTGGGTGATGCTGTGGTTGAACAAACAAAGCCGGTATTAATGTATCAGGATAAGGTAGGTGATGTTGGACCGAGCTTAAAACAACCAGGAAAGCCTTTAGAGGTAATCAATGGGGTTGAGAAGAAGATGAAACCTCCAGGAACAATCCAGTGGAAGGACGGCGTGGATGGAAAAGAGCCTGTGAAACCTCTAGAAAAGTTAATTGGCATGGATTCAAAGGAACATGCAATGTCAACAATGAATGAAGGTGACAAGACAGAAGAGGAACCTTTAAAACCACCAGTCAGATCTAAAGCAAAGACAGCAGAGGGAAAACAATCATCTATGTATATTTTGAATAAAACTGAGGAGGTAATTCCTCTTGCATTAGAGACAACTGTAAATGATTCACAGGAATACCATGAACAGAGAGAGAGTTTAAAACAACAAGAGGCAGAAAGAGAAAAAAATCCACAGGTGCAGGTTCCTGTAAATCGCTTGGACAAAGCTGCAGTTGAGCAACAAGAAAAACCTTCAGAAAGAGAGGCTGAGGCTCCAAAACCACCTGTGAGGATAAAAAGTAAAGCAAAGGGAGGAACGGAGAGACAACTATCAAGGGACATGGACACAGATCACGAAGGACAAGAGCTAACAGGAGGTGTAGTGACAATAACAGTTAATCAGCCAATAAAACAGTCAGGAAGACCTGTGGATAAAGAGGTCAAAGAGAAGCCCAGATTTGAGAGGAAACCATCAGTAACAAAAGAGACAGACGATTATATTAGGCAGCTTGTGAAAGCTCCAGAGAAAGACGCAAACACCAAGCAGACGATAAAACAACCGGTGAAACCCATGAGAAAGGAAACTGAAGCTGATAAGGAAATTAAACTGGCAGTAGAGCCAACGAGAAGGGAGGAAAGGCCACAGACGATGAAGAAGATGGAGGATGTTCCCCTTCTCTATATTTCTGAAGATGAAACTTTCTCAGAGGCTTTGACTGAGATACCGGTGAACCACAGCGAGATCCAGCCCATTGGCTCTTTCACTGAGGGGTCAACTCAACCCTCTAGTCTTCCTCCAATTAATATCCCCCAGAAGACACAACCATCTGAGGAGGCTCCACCAGAGTTTGACATCGAGGATGAGCCACAATTGGAAGTGGCTGCAGTCAAGATCCAGGCTGCATTTAAAGGCTACAAAACCCGCAAAGATATGCGACCTGTCTTTAAAGAGGTGTTCAAGAACCAGAGTGCAGACGTTCATAGCACACTGTCTCTATTGTGTGTTGTGGAAGGGAAACCCAGCACAGTGCGCTGGCTGAGAAATGGCACAGAAATCACTAATGACCACCGCTGCCGCTCTAAGATCGCAGCAAATGGTGAGTGCACGTTGGTGATCAAGAACCTGACCACCAACGACAGTGGAATCTATACATGTGAGGTGGTGAATAAGTTTGGTGTAACCTCCTACAATGGAAACATCACAGTAGTGCAGCCTCAGCAGCCTGCTCCTGCAGCCCAGAAGCTTGTACACCCACCCCTTGCAGCCATAACTCCTCTGCAACTTGCACCACCAAAGCCCCAGATTCAAGGTCAGATTCCCACTGCAGCTACAGATGATGCAAACTATGTAGAAAGTGTGAGCATCTCTCTGTGGGAGACCTACAACCTGACGGAGCAGGATATACCAACATGTCTGGAAGAAAGAAGAGGATCATCTCTTATTGCTGCCAGCTCCAGTGAGTAATTCCCTTATAACCTACGTGTAAGGTCAATTTGCTTGGCCACATATTTACACTACATTACATATTGTTTTTTTCGCTTTCACCAGTGTCAAGTCCGTCTGATTACGACACAGCTCCTGATATAATGGAACCTGTTGAAACTGCTCCTGCTGTTCCAAGGTGAGAGTGTAGAAGAATCTATTTGTTTTCTTCATGTAGTTTATTGCTAATCATGTATTTTGCTCAAAATATAATATTATCACAGGGAAGAACCAGCTGCAGAAGACCAAGTACCTCCAAAGGATGATAAAGAAGAGATAGCTTCTCCACAACCTCCTAAGCAACTCTTGAAGGTCGTAGGTAAGAAATGTTAATTGTTCATCTTTCCTGTTATACACCAACAGTTTCCAATCTGGTATACTAGAGCTGTCTTCCTGTCCTTTTTGTAGGGGCTCCTGATGGCAAAATGAGGACACCATCTCCAAAGCACCATCGTGCTCACACACCCTTAGCTAGTACCGTCTCCGGATCAGAATCAGAAGGTGAAGAGGACAGCAGAGAGGTACTTTTTGCATGTTTTGCTCTATGTTGGAGCTATGTAATATATTTATTGACCTAATATCTGTGCTCTGTAAACATTAATGCAACAAATATGATATGATACATGTGCTTTTTTCCCCCTCAGACATTTGAAATGTATGTGGCTCGAGCTGACTGCAGTCCCAACAGTGGGAATAAGGACAGTTTTATTCTGAAGGAGGGTCAGTTTGTAGAGGTGCTGGACTCTGTTCATCCTGACCGGTGGCTGGTGAGGACCAAACCCACTAAAACTAGCCCTGCTCGACAAGGATGGGTGTGTCCAGCCTACCTAGAGAAGAAGAGAAGGGTAGGATGTGTAAATCCAGACATCAGCCTGTTGCATTCTGACATCAACAATTGTCATGTAATTAACAATGGATGGGCTTTCCACAATATAAAACATGACTTTCATTTTGAACAGGAGACTTTCCCACAAGTTAGAGCCCCTCAAGAGGATCTTGATGGAATAGGGTCTTCAGGAGAAGAGTACAGGAGAGCTCTGAGGTCTGCTTTTTCTGACACTTTAAATAAACTAGGAGCCACTTTATGAGCAATTACATTTTTTCAATCGAAGAAAAAGATTATTACATTTGATAATAACGATAAAAATGTGTTGCCTTTCTTCAGTCAATTGGTCCAAGGCCTGGTTGATGGAGAGGATGAGTTTGTGAAGGAGATGAAGACATTCACCTCTCACCAGTTGAATTATCTGGACTCTAGTCGCAACATCCCCATTAACATCCTCAACCAGAAAGAGATCATTTTCAGAAATATCAAGGACATTGTGTTGCTGCATGACAGGTAACACACAATACATTTATCAGACTATATTTTATGCAATGCTTTCCTATTTTTCTCAATTGTTTCCATTGTCCTCATGCACAGTTTTTTTCTTCTGAAGCCTCCTCTCATTGCTTTCATTCCAGGTTCATCCTTCCTGGTCTAAGAGGCTGTGCCACAGACGATGATGTGGCCATGCATCTGATCCAGCACACTGAAGACTTTGAGAAGTATCTTCACTACATAGTGGGACAAGCACAAGCAGAAGCCTGTGTCACTGACAAAGCTACCCAGCAGTATTTCAAAGTATTCAAATAATCTATCTGCACTTAAAAATAAATATGACTGTGGAAATTAAAGTTGCCAAGTAGAAGCATCATAACACTTATGTCATGTTTTTTATTTTTTAATATCTTGCTCATTACACTGCAGGGGTTAACAGAGTCTGGTCAGCATGATGCTCCGGTCATGGATGTTCTCACCTTCCTCCAGAGACCAGTGGAGCGGATTCAAACCTACCAGGCTTTACTGAAGGTCAGTTTCACTCTTTTGTTTCTTTACTTTGCAACTCACCATCAAAAGAAGTAATTTGTAACAAAATACATGTAAACATTTGTGCTTGCTCAAATTTCAGTGTCTTCTGGCAATGTGTCAGCTGAACGCATGCGATGTAAATGAAAACTGTTTATTGGCAGGAGTTGATAAAGAACAAAGCCAAAAGTGGTCAGAGCTGCTGTCTGTTGGAGGATGCCTTCTCCATGGTGTCCTGTCTGCCCTGGAGGTCTGACAACCTGCACCAGGTATCCCTCATTGAGAACTACCCTGCTCCTCTAACTGCCCTGGGTGAACCTGAACGACAGGTAACTACAGATGTTTTCATTGTAACTCTAAAAACTCTAAAGTTAGGCTCATGGTCTGATATTAACATCTGGAGTCACATATAACTCTTATATTTTGTATCCATTTGTCTTGTCTTTCATCCAGGGAGTCTTTACAGTGTGGGAGGACACTCCAGAAATGAAGACGGCCTCTAGAGGGCATCAGAGACAAGTCTTTCTCTTCAAGGACTGTATTGTGGTGTGTAAACTGAAAAGAGACACGCGCATGAACAGTGTCACCTACACATTCAAGAACAAAATGAAGGTAACATATGCTCCTGTGTACTTGTGTGTCAATCCAAAAAAGATATTACAAATACTGTACTACAGTGTACTGTCTTTGCTTTTTCCATCTTGTGACCTAACACTCACTCATCTTTCTTTCTCATCCTCTCTTCTGTGATCTACTCAGCTGAATGACGTAGAAATAAAGGAGACTGTGGGTGGAGATGAAAGATCCTGGGGGTTATGGCACGAGCACAGGGGCTCAGTGCGGAGGTACATGCTGCAGGGCCGCTCCGCACTGGCTAAACTCCCCTGGCTCAAGGACCTGAAGGAGCTCCAGCAACACTGCAGTCTGCCCACCAACAGTAAGTAAATGTGAACAGGTCAAATTTGACCATGAATTAAAGCTACTCTCAAAGTTTTACAGAGCATAGAACAAACTAAGCCAGTCAATCTGTGTAGTCCCACTTACTTAAAAGTGGATATTACCCATGATCTACTGCTTCTTGAGCCAGAAGAGCTGCTGCTGTAACAAATATACCAAACTCAAGACAAAGTGGTGAATATGTCTTTGAAGGACTTCTGCACAATTTAAGTTACCAGTCCTTTTAACTGATCCACAGTTTTACATTACTCTTGAACTTACTGGTTCTGATTCTGGCAATTTTACCTGTGATTATCAGTCAGTTACATACTTACATTACCTAGTTCAAGAACAGACCTTCAAAGTGAGGGGAAGGAATGAAAGAGGCTCCATTCTCCTTATTCCAAGTCAGTGAACCATCAAACTAATTTTGACGCTGCTAGTTTAATGTCAAAAAAGTTGCATGGTGTTGTAAATCTTTGTCTTTACTCAGAATTGTTATGGGGTCGTAGCATTATTTTTTTATATCAAATGCTTCATGTGGAATTTCTCTGTTTCTGTTTCATCAACAGGTCCACCAGTGTTCGAGTCCCTGTTGTCTGACTGCAGAACAAAGATAGGACAGACTATTAAACTGACATGCAAGGTCACAGGATCACCCAAACCAATGATCAGCTGGCTCAAAGGTCAGTTTTGAACTTGTACAGAAACACACTGTTGCCCATGTTGTTTTTTAACTTCATCTAAATACCTGTCTATTCCTCAGACGGCCATCCTCTGGAGGACGACCCCCGTCATATTATTACAGCCGACCGCTCTGGCACCTGCAGACTCATCCTGGACAGCCTCACTGCAGACGACTCCGGACAGTACACGTGCTACGCTACCAGCTCCATGGGAGCTGCTGGTACTCTGGCTAAGGTTGTGGTGCAGGGTGAGTCTGGGGAGACACTTGAGTTGTTTCTCTTTTCGAGGATCAGTTTGTGTGTTTGTAGTTGCATTCCTTACTTGCAATAAGTGCGCTGTCACTGAGCACAGGACAGATGTGAGCACTTAATTATATTTCATCATATAAGTGCTGTCACTTAAGTAACAATTCCTTGTACTACTGCAAACTTAAATCATTACATCAATCATCTTAACTTAAAAAAAAATGTATGTTGTCCTCTGCAGCTCCACCCAGATTTGTGAGTCGGCTTGAGAGTGCGTGTCTGATAGAAGGAGAGGATATCCAGTTCATTTGTTCCACGCTCAGCACTCCTTTACCAAGAATCAGGTATGGGGGAGATAAACAGAAGACGTACCGTGGTTGTGATGTGTTTTTATTTTGGTCATTGTGTCTTTCAAACGTATCCATCTGTTGTAGGTGGTTGAAGGACGGCAGAGAGTTGACTGACCAGCAGAAATATTTCATCCTGAATGATTTTCGGAGTGGAATATTGTGTCTGACAATCATCAGGGCAACAGAGGCAGATATTGGACAGTACGAGTGTGAGGTATAAACCCAATATCCTTAAAACCTACAACCAATTAAGATAATCCTCATCATTACTGTTAGAGGTCTTCTTTTAATAAGACAGACTCACAGACAACAGACTCTTTCCATCATGATACAGAGCGCCACAGGAAGCAGTTATCAGACTTTACAGTTCCTCTCTCAGAGTATAAGACAATAGACAGGCCCTAGACTTATTTCACCCTGTCAGCACATAATTCAAGATTTAAGTTTCATCTGTTATACTGTATTTTCACATGTTCTTATTCGGCTTCTTTTTGTATGTTGTATTATAATGCACATATTTTTACAAACTTTTGTAATTTTCTAGGTCTGCATATATTTCTAATCTCTGCAAGAGTGCGTGACTGAAACAAAACAAAATTTCGACCCAGGGATCATTGAAATAATTCTGATTGAGTTTGTCATATGTTTTGTTGCTCAGCTCTGGAATGAGTTTGGCTGCGTCAAGTGTAAAGCTGGTCTGTGCCCCGCTTATGTGCCACCAACTGACATTGCGAACGACCAACCTCAGGACTTACCTCCTAAAGGTAGGACTAGCAGAGCTGCTGAAGGTAAATATCCTCCACATATGCAGGAAACCATCATGTGGTTGACCCACACTTCCACACGGGACGAAGCACATGCCATTGTCCAGTTTTACTTCGCCCTTTCTGCATCACACCATGTGACTTCACTTTCCAACAAACTGCAACCATTAGCATCAGTTTCCACTTTCAACCACTACCACTCATCCATTCGATCAAATTGACTTCATTTTGAGATTTTACTTACGTTTTTTACTTTTTGCCATTTCACAAACACTCACATCATAAGTACTTTCAACTACCATAGCAGCTGTCACAAGATCCTCTCGGGTTATAGCACAGAGTCTGTAGTAGTTTGTCTCGGCACTGACATGGAAATTTCCAACTATTAATTGCATCATATCACAGTATTTCTAAAATACTAAAGTACAAATACATTTCTAATATTTTCCATTTCCATTTTTCACCTCATGGCTAATGCCTAGTGCTGAATGCAAGTGTCATTGTTTAACATCTCTCCCAGACTGCGGAAATGGTACAGATTTACACCAAACCAAAATTGAAACATAACCATCTCTTGCCTAATACACATAACCAGTTCTTACCTTAATTTTTACCTTTGTTCTTTGGTTGTGAGTCTGTGTCACTGATCACTGAATCTGTTCTACTAATTTTCTTTAATTTCGAATGATTTTTAACAAATCAAGCTTGTTTTTTCCATAAACCATCGGGATCTTGTGGCAACTATTCAACTTAAACACCATACACTATTTCACAGCATTTCTCTCACCCATACAATTGATGCATTTTTTATTTTGTTTGTTTTTTTCATCATGTTTCAACCTTCCACACAAGGCATGGACTGAAACAGATTTGATTCTTTTCCTCCATTAGATTCATGTTATCATCCAAAAGTCAGCCCAGCCACAGAGGTGCCGCAACTAACAGCAGTCAATTAAATATAGAGATAGCAAGTATACCACTGTTACTGTCCTATATTATACGGTGATATTCAATCTGTTATTTACATGTACTGTTACTATCAAACACATTCAGCAATAACACTAGAACAATAAAGTAAACAATATAATTCAGGCAGATATTGGAATCGTCAGAAGATGTTGATGAGAAACCTGCTGTATGTTTGACAAATGATATAAAGAAGTCTCACTCACATATTTTTTATTCTGGCTTTTGGACTCTGGTTCACCATGTTTGCCCTCTCATTGTTCATAACCTACATGTGTTTCCATCTTCCCTCTACTAGCCCTAAAGGAGGAGGTTTCTCACATGGACCGTTCCATGCAAGTCATCATTGTCATGATAACAAATAACCACGCAACATTCCCCTTTTTCCTCCCTGCCCACGCATGTCCAGCTAACTCTTCACTCCTACGAACATCAGATGGTCATGTGCTGGGCAGGTGTTCCATTAACGCCCATGCAGGAGTGGGCATGTTCCCACGTCCTGTTCATGTGGTGGTTAAATGGGGTTAAACCCTCAAGTCTCGAGGTAAGAAATGCAATAAAACTGCTCGTGGTATGTCAGGTAATGTACTCTTTCGCTTTTTCTTTTTTCCAATGTTTCGATATATTTACATTAAAGTCAAAGCCAAGTGACAATTCCTTAAAACATAGTTGAACAATATTAAAATCTGTGATCCACATATTCTTGCTGATTGGTATTTTGGTTGTGATAGATGCAGACTCAGAGGGCTGGTCCACTGCTTTTGTGAAGAAGTGGTTACAGACTGATTTTAGCCCCACTTCTATCGCCAAGATGCTCTTCACTCCTGGATACCCTGAACAGTAAGTTAATGATAACTTATAAAATACATGCTTTTGCCTTTTCCCTCCATTGACGTAAATCAGCATCAGCATGATGTCTACGATTGGTAAAAGTTCAAGTTTAATAATGAGTTTCACCGAAGTTAGTAGTCAATAGTAAAAATGTATATGGGGTTAATTTAAATGGTGTTTTGATACACCATTTTAACTTGTAATTTGACTGTAAATTGCTGGTGGTGTGAATTTGAGTGTGGATAGTTTGTCTCTGTATATCGGGATTTGTTCCATCCCCCAGCAAACCCCATAGGATAAATGTTATAGATAATGGATTAATAGATGGATCCTTGAATTTCATCCTCTCTTTTTCTCCAGAGCAGAGTGTAGCACTGAAGAGACTGTTCCCGTCACCACACCCATGGATGAGTCGGTCCAGCAGCCTCTCTGTTACCTGGAGGAAGTAGAGGAGGAGATTTACATCTCAGAACCGATGCAGGAAATTACAGATGGTATTCTTGTCATATTAGTAAAACTACATATTATAGAGTATAACGCCTATCAAATTTAGTATGTTCACTAAGTTATGTTTGTCTGTTCAGCTCCTCCCTCCATCCAGGTGCCCACTGAAGACCTGTGTGTAGAGCCTGGTCAACCAGCTACATTTACTGCCATCATCACTGGGAGGCCTACCCCTCAGATACAGTGGTACAAGGTAGGAGCACTTTAGATCAGTGGTTTCCAAAGTGGGATTGATTACATGGGTTTGTAGTAATGCGATTATTGGTATGGTAAAAAAAAATCACATTCTGACAATACATCCCATTATATATTATTTTTATTGAACAATATTTAACTAGAAAAAGTTTAGTGCAATTATATTTTTCACAATGACGCCCTGAATAAAACACACCTTGTTGATCTCTGATAAAACTCCACTCTTCTGTGATTGGAGGATGAAGACGAGCTTGCAGCCAATGAGAATGTAGAGATGGTACAGCATGGTGCCCGCTGCTCACTGACCATAGTGTGCTCCGAGGGCGAAGACAGCGGCATATACACCTGCTTCGCCTACAATAGCTCTGGTCATGACTCGTGCCAGGCTCAGCTCACAGTGGAGGAAGGTGAGACAACAGCACGCACTGTTAAACATCACAACTCGTCAATGTATCTTTATCATTAAGCATGTCAGATAATTGTATTGTTGTCATTTTCTCTATAGTAGTCCCCTCTACTGAGCAATGTTACAATCTGCAATCCCACTTTTCAAAAAATGGATCTCGATCAGTAGTGCCGTGAATGTTGTCTGTCTGTGTGGTTGATCACCTTCGTTCACAGGCTGTGGTTTCTCTGTAGGTCCACTGGAGTGTCAGGAGAGAGAGGTGGAGCTGGGGAAGAGAAGGAAGTTGTTCTCTGTCTATGATGTTCATGAGGAAATTGGAAGGTGAACCTTACTCTCAGAAGCCAAAAAATGTCATACCTTCTCTATATTAACCCATTGACATTCTCCAAACTATTGCATGTTTCCTGCTAAGATTTGACACGACCACCATCATCTTTCTTTGTTTCAGGGGAGCATTTGGAGTGGTGAAGCGTGTGGTCCACAGAAGGACAGGTGAAGTATTTGCCGCCAAGTTCCTGCCTCTGCGGAGCAGCACTCGGACAAGGGCCTTCCAGGAGCGAGACCTGCTCTCACGTCTGGCTCATCCCAGAGTGGCCTGTCTACTGGACTTCTTCTGCACCAGACGCACTCTGGTGCTGATCACAGAAATGTATCCTCCCTGTTAAACTTTACAATATGATCACTGATTTTCAGTCAAGCATCTACTTTTATTTGTGTGGTCAAGAGTTCTTTAACGCCACTTCTAGCTGCTGTTCTCATGGGCTTCTGGACCATTTATTACTGAGAGGATTAGTCTCAGAGAAAGAGGTACAAGCTTTTATTTATTCCCTATGTATATTTCATCTTTTTTATTTGTGGCTTTTGACTAATATTCTGCATCTTATTTCAGGTTCAGTCGTACATCCAGCAAATCCTTGAAGGTGTTGGCCACATTCACAGCATGAACATCTTGCATCTGGACATAAAAGTAAGCTTCTCTGTCTTATCAACACTATATTATTAACTATTGTATTAGTATGTAGTTCTTAGCTCTTTCTAGCTTTTTTTTCCTCTTCCTTCAGCCTGATAATATCCTGATGGTATATCCACCCAGAGACGAGATTAAGATCTGTGACTTTGGCTTTTGCCAAGAAATGGACACATCCAGACACCAGTACAGCATGTTTGGAACACCTGAGTTCATTGCACCTGAGATCTTTCACCAAGAGCCAGTCACTGTGGCCACTGATATTTGGTGAGTCATCTGGCTGATTCAAATCATATTTTATAATGTGTTATTGTATTTTATACATTTCTCTGATGAATTTCCAGTTGTTCTAGACTGCTGCCTCTCACTCTAGTAATTTTAGTCAATTATATTACAATAAGAAATATCTCTTATTCTCTCTTTCAGGGCTATTGGCGTCATGGCTTATCTCTGGTATGTATCAATGCAGTTTGGATAGTGTTCTAAAAATCATACATATGCAGTATATTCAAAAGGCAAGGACGTGCGCCATGTGTTTCTGTTGACTATTGACATCAGACTTTATCTTTATCTTGACAGCCTGGTTGGTCGATGCCCGTTTGTGGGTGAGACGGACCGCGCAACACTACTGAGAGTGGGGGAGGGGACCCTGAACTGGGACGCACCTGATGTCACCAGCAGGAGCCCTGAGGCCCAAAGCTTTCTCCACTTGCTCCTTCAGCCAGATCCAGAGTAGGAGACCTATTTTTACTGAGACTTACCAACAATGCAAAACTAAATGTTCTGCCTTTTTAAGAGGCATTTAGGCAACTTAGAAACATCACTGATTAAAGTGAGTAGGGCTTAAACAAAAACGGTTAAAACAAACGTTGACTCAGAAAGTGTCTGAATGCTGTATAACTCTTACCCTCTTTCACATAAGAAATTAGATTCAATACTGATATCAAACCTATATCTGAAAGAATATTTTTTGCTGTGCTCCAGTAAGTTGTCACGTAAAGCTGCAGTGATGTCCTCAGTTAACCACTGTAAGGTATGGTTTGAGGGACAATTCAACAGATGTCTGAGCACTTCTAATATTCCTTTACTTAGGAGGCGACCGTCTGCCTTTGAATGCTTGAGCCATGAATGGTTTCAGGTGAGAAGAAACAACACAAAATGTGTTTAAATAAGGCTTTACTGTATTCAAAAATGCACTAATATAACTAATCAAACAATTTTTCTCTCTGTTCAGGATGAAAATGCAGGAGAGGACACTGATGAAATTAACACAAAGAGTTTGAAAGTATTTATCTCAAAAACTAAATGGCAGGTAAGTTGGTTCCCTGGTATCTCCTAACTAATAATATTGAAGATTAATGTAATCACATGAGTTGTATATTCACACCATGTCATGAAAATCTTCCCAGCGTTCTTTGACTTGCATTGGGTCGGTTCTCACGTTGAGGCCCGTCCCCGAGCTGCTGGACGCTCCTCTCAGAGAGACTGCGGTGACTGTGCCTCGCGAGCTGCAGGAACACAGCAGCACCTCAGTGAGCAGTGGCTCGTCATCAGAATACGATGAAGCTGACTCCTGGGACTTTTTTCAGCACTACAGCCCAACTGAGGAGGAGGAAGAGGAAGAGACAGAGGAGGATTATGATCCTTTAATGGAGAGAGCACAGATCCCAGAGCCTTTCCCCAAACTCCACCTAGGTGTGGAGGAAGAGGAGGAGATGACATTAGGGGAGGAGGAGGATGGGGAGATTCTGGAAAGGAGGAGTGTATTAGAGCGAAGTATGAGCAGGCAGTCGGTGGCGTCATCAGATGCATCTTGCCAACAGACACCTCAGAGGGAGCGTAGGTTCAGCAAGGACAGCAGTCCATCTCTAAACCTATCTGACTGGGATGAGGGTTCAGGAAGTGACGGAGGTCGTATCCCTCGGGGCAGCGTGATCCGAAGCACTTTCTACAGCAGCTCTCAACAGCTTTCACCTATGTCTGCTAGACACATGTCATTACGGGACAAATTCCAGGCCAGAAAACAGGAGAGAGGCCGCAAACCACTCAGGAGAAGCTTTTCAGGACGCCTCAATGAGCCTCTCATTGAATATGTGGAGGATGAGACAGACACTAACCGTGGTCAGAGACGGGGATCCATCCCACCCTCGATACAGAAATCCTGCTCCTTTGACAGTGGAGTTGGTCTCCCCCACAGCAACGTGCCCCCTCACAGGAGGAGCAGGTCCCTGGATGAGTATTCACGTCGCTCCCCCAGCTCACCCTCACGCTCAAAGCCAGGTGACGAAGAAGGTTCTCAAAGTCTGAAGGAAGATTTTACAGATGATGAAGTGGCAGGTAGGAACTTGTTGGCCATTCCGAGTCCACGGCGACCCACAAGAAGAAGAGGCTCCACCGCTCCCGTACATGGAGCTCACACACTGGGTGCAACATCTGCTCCTTCAAACTTCCTTGCTGGAAACAGAATGAGCAACCGGCTGGATAAGCAACAGACAAAGGGAGGAAACACCTTTGCTGGCTCCCAGGGTTCTCTGGCTGAATCATATACTTTGGAGCACGGTGGTTCGGTCGGCTCATATGAGGAGCTGAGTCATGCTCATCTCAGAGGAAGATACAGATCAGGGGACAGTGAAGAGTATGATGATCACCAGGAGCCACTGCTTTCATCATCTTCCTGCTCATTCCAAGAAGTCAAAACCAGAGGCTCATTTCCACAGGCACCACCGCGTAACCGCACCCGCTCAAACCCCAACTTATCTGCAAACAGCAGAGGCCAGCCAGGCCCTTCACTGACACCGAGCCCCAGTCCCAGCCTCTCTTCCCTCCAGGCTCCAGAGAGGCCTCCCAGGGCCAGGGAAAAGAAGGAAGCTCACAGCCTCCACAGGCATGCGTCAGCTCCAGCCCTGGAAGTCCGACCGCCCACAGGAAAGTCACCCAAGCTGGGACTGCTGAAGATCTTCCGTAGGCAGTCGTGGACTGGCCACTCATACTCTCAGCTGGACAACACAGAGTTAGGACCCACGTTAGGAGAGATCATGAAGCCTGATACACCCACCATGTCTCTGAGGAAGAAAATGAGAGCTTCAGCCTCCAGCCTGACCAAGCTGTTCTCCAGGTCCTCCAGTAAAGAGGATGTGAGTAAAGGTGAGTTATTTCAAATTATAATAATTTTATTTCATAATGATTTTGAAAATGGTTTTAAGAAGCATCCACGTTGAGAAAATTTTTCTTTGGTATATTCTTTTTATCCTAATGTCTCTTTTTTTCCCTGTGTTTTCCCATCATAACAGGACCAATAGTAAAAGGATCAGCTGCCATCCCCGCCGAAAGGGAACATAGCACTGGACTTGAGAGTCCAAAGAAAAGGACATCCAAAATCCTGCCTTCTTTCAAAATACCCAGATTCAAAAAGACAAAAGGTAGTGAACAAGCTACACCATGGGGGTCATGTATTTCCTGTCTGAAATAACCTGAAATCCTGCTTTTTCATTTTTGCTTTAAGCCTGTTTGTGTATGTTTGTTCAGATCTGCCAGTCCGTCCCAACAAAGCTGACGTGCTCCAGTTAGATGGAGGCGGAGTCCTGCTGGTTTGGAAACCTATCAAGTCGAATGACCCCATCACCTACTGTGTGCAGTACTGTACAGATGGTGTGTTTACAGAGATGATGCAGCAGCACTGAAATTATATTGCTAGATATTTTTCAGTGGCCATCACTTCAGTTTCATGAAGCTGGCAGCATGTTTAAGATCAAAGGTTGGCTTTGAGGTGTTTCAGTGAATTCGAAATGTATGTTTTCTATTGTACAATGTCAGTAAAATTTGCAGTAAGCATGGAATTCACTGTAAATGTCATGTGCTGTGTGTGTGCAGGTGGGGATTGGACGGTCCTGTCAGAGGAGGTGACGGACAGCAGCTATGTGGCGAAGGATTTACCGAGAGGGGCGTCGTATGTTTTCAGGGTTGGCTGCATCACCAAGACGGGAGCTGGACCTTTCAGTGACGCTTCAGCACCTGTTGTTATGGCGACTCACCCTGAAGGCAAGAAAAATACAGTCAAACATGATGTTGCATATGTAAAATATAATGTAATTCACTTTTCACGTGTTTAGAGTGTTTCTGATCAGATTGCAAATGTCACATGACTCCAGAGTATTCACAGCAATGAGATGTCATATATTCATCAGCTGCTACACAGAGCGTTATTACATTTTCATGTTCTCTGTTTACTTTATTGTATAGAGACTCAAATCTCACTCATTCAGACTGAGACCCTGGGGTCAAAGGTCACTGGATCAGCACAAAAGAACTTCAGCTTCCTTGCTGAGATCAACAGGTGGGATTTTTAACTTTTGATTAAGGGAGGAGCTCTAATGCCTCGTTTTCCTCATAATGACCAATATATAGTGTGATTCATTCATTCATTTACTCTAGTATTTGTTTCCGTTTGATAACATTTTTCTTCCTTCAGATTTCCTTTTGAAACTTAAGTTCAGGTTTTTTAAGTTTGACACTGATATAATTATCTTTTCCATCAGACTTTACATCATGCATTAAGTCAAGAGCTGTCTTGTCTTGTCAGTATCTCCCAATCACCAGTTAGGTTTAGGGTTAGGGGTTTAGGGTTAGGGTTAGGGGCTCATACTGAAATGTCTGTCACATGTTTAGTGTTTTTATTCTTTCATGACTTTGTTTTCATTTCTTATGTTAACTTTATGTGCTTTTTATGTGTAACTTTAATTTGTGAAGTCCTAAAAAATAGATGGATATTATTATTACATTATTATCGTTCCTCTTCGTCTTTTGCTGTTTTCTCTCTCAGGGGTCGGTTCAGCGTACTGAACCTTTGCAGGGATGTTGAGACCAGCCAAGTGTTTGCTGCAAAGATCACCCCCTACCAGGCAGAGAAGAGACAGCTGGTGCTGAGAGAGTACCAGCTGCTGAAGAGGCTTCACCACCCACATCTGGTGCAGCTGCACACCGCCTACATCACCTCCTGCTACCTGGTGTTAGTGGAGGAGCTTTGTCCTGGCAAGGAGCTGCTCTACAGTCTGGCTGTGAGGTAACAGACTGAAATTATTCTTTATACGCAGAGAAACAAAAATGTTTGTTACATCTCATGTGCAAAAACTTTGACCCATCCTCACACTCTTTTATTCATGTTTAGCTTTATTAAATTGTTTTTTCTTTGTTGCATTTTATATGACATTGCTCTTAGCCCTGAGCTGACCAGCTCTTCTCATCCAACACTGTTCATTGTGCTGAACCTGTGTTAAATACATATGAATAAAGAATACAACTTGAACTTGAATACAGGACATCCTTTCAAACACCACATCTTGCATGCATGTTTTTTTTTTTTTTTTTACAAATGGCTGATGATGTGACTTTCTTCATGGTTCGGCCTCTCTAACACATTCTGTCATCAACCATTAGCCATGTCGCCGTGAACGTTTGTCTAAATAGTAATGGCTTCATGAGCATGCTATCCTAATGATGGTGAGCCTCTGGTCTTGTGGCATCAGGTCAAATTTTCACTATTTCATCAAGAAACTTCATCACAGTGTAAATCCTCTTTGTTTTGTCCTGTTTGAGGAAAAATCCAGTAAAATCTGATCACTTCATGATTCCAAAATGAACAAGACTTAATTAAGACTAAGAAAATAAGACAATTTTAATTAGATCTTTTTCAGAGTTACGTCCCAAAGATTATGTTGATGCAGCCTGTAGCCATTTGTGGCAGCACATCTCATACTTTAGTAAATCTTAACAAATGTGCCCTGTCCTTTCAGAGATCTGTATGCAGAGTCTCATGTTGCAGAGCTGCTGGTTCAGATTCTAAGTGCCGTCGACTACCTTCACAGCCGTCGAATCATCCACCTGGACCTGAAGTCTGACAACATGCTGGTGGACGATTGTAACCACGTAAAGATTGTTGACTTTGGCTCGGCTCAGCCCTTCACACCCGGACAGCCCCTCAACGTTGAGCACATCGAAGGCCTGTCGGAGAGCAAAGGTACTGTTGTTCGTCTAGTTTCATTCCAAGAGGCAAAGATATTCAAGCTTGCGCTGTTGTTGATTCTTCTAATGTACTAAACCTCTGACTGTCGTGGCCTTCAACAGACTGTCGCAGCAAAGGTACACATTTTTAAGGAAGGATGGATTGATGGATGGAAATAACTCAGCCTAACTTCATCTACCTCAGCTGATCCTAGCTACCATAACCTAACAAACCCAAGTCCAATTCATTTTCTTTTCTTTATCCAATTCTGTTTCATTTGAATAACAGAAAATTAAGCGTGAAAGTGGCATTGCCAGTAACAGCACAACTCTTTATGAACAATGTCCGTTGTGTCTGTCTGTTTTTTCAGTTTATATTGCCCTTCCTAAAGCTCCGGAAATCCTGGAGGGTCAGGGCGTCGGGCCTGAAACTGATATCTGGGCTATTGGGGTTCTGTCATTCATCATGTAAGTAGAAACATGTGGAACTGTTGAACATGCTTGTTATACATGACATATTACATTTATTTAGTAAAACATACTGTGTGTGTTTTTCCTCTCTTCACTAGGTTGAGTGCCGACAGTCCGTTCCAGGAAGAGCAAGACAGAAACATCAAGAAGGGGAAGATCCAGTTTGGATGCTGTTACCCTGGTCTGTCAGAGGGAGCCTTAAACTTCATGAAGAGCAGCCTGAATAACAAATTATGGTACGTGTATCTGTTTAAATTCTGCTAATTTAATACAGAACATCCATGCTTTTAATTAATCCCTTCTTCTTGCGCAAACCAAACCAAAAATTAGAAGTGTGTTATTAGTGGATGCAATCTCGGAGCCCATCGACTAAAATCTGAAGAGGAACAAGCCTCTGGAGGCAACGGCTGATGTTTTAGGGCTTCCGGTGTCGGCAGCGGATATCCAGGCTGACACTATCTTCAGTTCTACACAGTTTACGACTCATGTCTTTTATCACACAAGTCAAACTTTTCTCAGCATAAAAAAAAAAAGTGCTACATTTTAAAGGTGTTTGAGGTCCAGATGACATTTTGGCTAATCTCTTACAGCTATTTGCATATGAATTAAAAAAACAACTGATGCATTTCATGTTTTCTACATCTTTAGTTCTCCTCACTCACCTGTTGGCAACCAAAGTCTGCTCAAATGTCATTGAACTAGAAACAGAAACCAGATGACTTCCAGACCCCAAAATTTGTCAAATTCTACACATGCAGAATCAGTTTATACCGATTAGAATGTGTATATTCAAAAATGATCAAATGTGATTCTGTAGGGGGAGACCTACTGCAGCCGAGTGTCTCCAGAACCCATGGCTCCGTGCTCATCGTATTCCTCACAAAGTGCGACACTCCAAGGTGTGTTTCTCAACAGACAAGCTTAAATCGTACCTCAAGCAGAAGGAGGAGAAACGAGAGCTGGTCCGCACCAAGCTTCAGGGTCCCTTCTTCCAGTAAGACAATGATGCCCCCCCCCCCCCCCCCCCCCCCCCCAGAAAAAGTGGGATTTTCTTTCACCAGCAGATTTTCCTAAACAGTATGCAGCATATTTAATTTCAGTTGTGTGGAAAGATTTTTTTAAATCGTTTTGAATATCATCTGATTTTGAAAATGTTATTTGTCTTAATGAGTTCTTATCCATTAGGTTTTACATGAGAGTGCAGTGCATTTAGTTTAGCTTTTGTTCAGGTGGAAACAGATCAGGGATAAAGTTAAGTGCAAATCTTTATTTTTGACATGAGAACCAGTTGTTTCGCTCTTCAGTATCAAACAGCTGCACATGTTTGATCTGACAGTAAAACATGTTATTCTGCTCCATGTAATCAAATGTATTTCTGACTATCTAATTTAATTCTTTACAGGTTAAGCTTACAATGTGTTAAAGGGAAATCGATGAGCTTTATGAGTTTTATTTGAAGCTTCTAAGTTTCATGTTGATAATATGTTGGGACAACAACCCACCTGAATGACGTAGTGAATGAAAGATTAATTAAACAACACTAGTGATCAATCATTGTCCTCACACTTTATTCAGCCTCACACACAAACATACACACTCATATTTTAAATGTAATATGCCCAATGATTTTATTTCATATTTCCCTCAATATAAATCAGAATCATTTTGATTTTACATTTAAATATAAGTTTCCACTATATTAGAATTGAGCAGAACACAACAATTTTTTGAAAATGTTTTGTGTGTGCAGTTGGTACTGACCAGTGATAGTGATTCGTACAACACCCTCCTGGATAGTCCAGTGTCAAACTGGGTCCTATAGAGTCCAAACAAACCACTGGTGCAGTTGCTTCAATCCTTTTTTTTTCAACACAGGTAAGGATTTTCATACGTAGATATAAATATTGAACATTAATTGCCCTAAATCTAACACAAAACCTCTTTCTCTTAACTGAGAAAACAATAATCAATTTAGAGTCCCTCTTTTCCATCTGAGCATCGCTGACAATATTACGCAGAAGGTAAAGAAAGACAAACTTTTCTTTAGGTGTTTCAGTGAAGATGGGGTCAGATTAACAAGTGTGGGATCACGTTTCCCCAGCAGAAGAAAGACTATCTGACTGTTTCCTTCTTATTTGGCCTCCTGGACCTTTTGGATTTCCTGAAGAAAGAGAGATAAGGAATAGTTTAGCATTTTGAACAATAAACTTGGTCTTGTCCAATTCTTGTTCTTACCTCATTGAGGGTATCTTTCAGCTCCTTGTAGGCCCTCTCTAAGTCATCATTGATAATAACAACATCAAACACTCCTGGCTCCTTACCTAGAAGAAGGAAGTTAAGTGAATTAGCCTCTATAGTTATGTTTACAAAGGTTAGTATCAGTGTCAAAAACTACTTTACAGATAACCACAAAACTTAAAGGAGGGATGCAGTATGAGTCAGAAGAGAACCATTACAATTTGGTGCGGATCCATCTTTCACATCGGGAGATTTTCAAAAATGTCTTGATGTGCAGTGCTAATATGTGAAATTGTAAGCTGAAACTTTCTGTCTACATAGTTTATGTTGCGATCTGATCTCAATACATGTATATGCAACATGGTGATAAAAGGGCCAATCAGCCTTGTCTTAGGAAACTTCCCTCTGTGTGCCCTTCAAGTTGTCTTCATTTCAGAATCCACTTTTGACGAACTTACTGAGCTCCATGTCGATGCGCGCTGCCTCCAGACGTTTCTGTAAACTCTCCTCTGTTTCTGTCTGCCGGTCCCGCAGACGTTCTTCCTGACAAAAACAGGAGAGCATGTCATTATTTTCAGCACAAGAGTAACAAAACAGCAGTTACATAATTATATCATGACTGACACTTTTTAATTTGTATCAATACTATATGAAAAGTTTAAAATTTACTAGGATCTCCATGGAAGGAGGCTGGATGGAGATGTAGATGGGGTTAAGGTCAGTCTGTTTAATCCTCTTCACTCCCTGGATGTCCACATCAAGGATGCAGATTAGGTTCCTGGCCAGCACATCTTCTACTGCCGCTGTACTACAGGAACAGTGTTACAGCATGAAATTACACCAAACACAAACCGACTGAAATAACCAGGACTACAGAAATGAGCAGAGGTGGGTTTTACAGACATATACTGGAAGTGTAATCATGTAATATTGTGTTGTTCACATGTAGTGACTGACTTAAGAGGATCGCTTCATTGATCCAGGCTCCTAGAACTGCAGCAAGTGTATGTGTGTGTGTGTGTGTGTGTGTGTGTGTTGTCTTCAGAATAAGATGAAGAGATTAAATGTGACACACAAGGTGCTGAGCCGCAGCGTTGCCCTTTTTGACCTGATGGAGGTTAAAGCTCCATCTGTCACCAGACTATTATATATCCTCTTGACCCCTGTGGCCCAGTCAGAGGGCGTTCTTTTATATATAGCAGCAGACTACATTTCTGTTGAATCAAATTTGACATATATCTGTGACACTGATCTTATAATAACTGTAAAATCTAATATATAATATACTATCAATATACTATATATGGAACTGGTATACTTTTAAAAATGTCAATATAATTCTATTGATTTGGTAGAAACGCATGTACAGAAATACCATTTATTACAAAATTAAAAATATGGTGACATTCCTGCTGAGATGCAAATATTTACCTTGTTCCGTACATGTTGCCAGAAAACTCTGCATTCTCAATGAAGTCGCCATTGGTGATTCCCTCCTCCATGGCCTCTCTCGTTGTGAAGTGGTAGTCTGTGAGATTCAGCATATAATCAACATTAAATATTTAATCTAGATCTAGCAAATTCATATATATCACTATATATATATATATATGTATATATACATACAGTATATAGTGATATTGCTATTGATGAAAGTTATACTGAGGTAATATTGACATTCGAGGCTAAATTTCAAATTGTGTTACATCTGCAAAAAACACTCAGAGGGAATAGCATGCAAAGATGAGAGGTGTGATTTTTGTCAAGTATTTTCGGCAGATAACGTTAGTATAGCACTTAAACAAATCACGTGCAGATACATTTTGTGTCCATACCAGATCCATATTCTTAATCTTGACAACATCAAAACCTCTGGAGATCTAAAACAGAATAACACGTTACTACCACTAACAGCCACGGTGATCGCACGCAATCATTAGCATAGCAATCTGAAGGAGTCTACTCGGACTGAAGTAAAGAAAATTACTTTGCAAACGCAGTACAGATTTCAAACAGTACTCAGGAAAACTGCAGTACAAAGTCTCAAAAATCCACTGTGATGATTTAAATAATGGGAAATAGCATTTGGATGAATAAACAATTTTAAGTATATATATTTATGTACATATATATAATATATATATATATATATATATGAGAGATAAAAGTTGTTGAGTCATTGTCCTGTGATGCTAATGCTTGGTTACAAATCACCAGTGCTCTTTCAGCCACAGTGGGAAATGGGACAGTTGCACTTCACTGGACGGGGAATGGGAATCACTATGAGGCATCACAGGGGGCTATTTTCAAGAGCTTTTTACTCCAAAGTGTAAACTGTCACATCCTGATCTCATAGATTGTTTTATTTTTTTGTTTGTCACACAACTTTCTCCTAATGAATCCAATGTGAAGCGTGCCAGGATGATGAAAGTAACCCCCTTCCCTTTGCCTTAGTCAAATAAAATAAAAAGATAACTGTGATCAGGAGTCACACTGAGGTCACCTGTCTCTGTGGTTTCTGATTCGTTTGGACTGGAAAATGAGGTTGACATTTCTATGTCTTCCGAGGAAAAGATGTCTGCTACAGGCAGTAACATAGCCCCCAGAAGCATGGGGAGCTTGTTCAGCCCTATGGAGAGAGCACAACAGGCACACACAGAGGTTTATCCCCGTAAGTCAGGGGAGCTGGGCAGAGGGGACAAAAAAAACACTTGTGCAGTTCACTTGGGAGTAAGAAGTGTTGTGGGCGATATTGTGGACGATGGAAGTGAAGGGAGGCTGGCGAATGGGGTATAGAGACAACAAGGAAAAAGGTGTGTACATATATTTTGATCACAGCTCTACTGATTGAAGCCTGCAGGCCTGCAGCTTAAAGAGCGTAGTCGTCCTGCTACAGTGCGAAGGTGCTAAAAACCTCAACCACGTACTTGCACTGAAACTAAAGTGTCTCCAGTTAATCTGCTGTACCTTTGCCATCTTCCTCTCCTGGTCGAGGGTTTCGTGTCGTGTCTGTGACGAGAAGATCAACATTGAATAGATATTAAAGAATAACAATATTCTGCTGAAACTTCAGTCTCCACATTACAAGATGTTCTCATGTAACACACATCTACGGCCAGAACAGCTTTAGATGCCGTGTCCTCCTTCCTCCTCAGACAGGAGGTTGGCACAAGAACGTACGTGACACGCTGAATCCAAACACGCCTTCGTGATCCTTCATCAGCCTCTTCATCAGAGTGCTCTTCCCTGCGCCGGAGGGGCCGCTCAGCACCACGGGCCTTGGACCTGACATTGTTCTGAGACAGACAGAGAGATTGACTGACAAGGAGATGTACAGACAGACAGGGACATGTACAGACAGAGTTATCTCAGGTTTGTGCCAGAAGCAGATTAAAAGCAGATCTTTTGTACTGGACGAAATCCAGCATTAAAGGTTTGGCAGCCATTTCTATAGAGTGAGATATGGGGCATGGTAGTATTCACACTATAGGAAGTTATCTTACATTCATGAACAGTCTTAATTCCAGTGCTGCTAAAAATCAACATCTTTCCTGTTAACTGGTCTAAGTTGCTGTCAAACTAAACCTTAGCACCAGACTTTTTGCTCTTTGCTCTTAAATTATGATTCTGGTTTTAATCTCCACTAATAATGAATCTCCACTTTCAAATACCCCAACGTCCTAATTCCTTAATTAAAATATTACAACGTGTCCATGCTCTAATTGCTGCCTGGTTATACAGCCACAGGGTTAATGTTGAGGATGCATGTTAATGAAGTGGAGGCAGGTCAGTCAGCTGGATTAATTGGATCATGGGCCAGGCAGCACAAAGAGTCCAGGACAGGACAGGTGGCCCAGTTACTGCCACACTCAGAGAGGATGACGTGTCAGGAACCTTGTGGAACCAGTTCATTTAGAATCTATGGACACAGTTACCTGATAACAGGAGTTTGTACCAGTCAGAACATCTTGATACCACTACCTCACTACGTCTCACACAGAATCCTTCAGTTAACTTGAATGTTAAAATGCTGCTTTAGTAATGATTGGTCAAAATAGTATAAAGATCTCATAAAAATAACAAATGTGTGAAATGTTTAGCATAATTGATCATTTTACTGTCGATAATCAAAGTGCATTCTGCTGATAATTCTTATGTATGTTTATTTTAACTTTTTTAAGGAGGTGAAAAGTATCAACTCCTGACCTCTCACCAAACAAGATGAAGAGAATAAGAGCGATGATCATTTTTTCAGTTAACTTATAACTGAAATGAGTCAAATAATCATTAATCGTGGATAAAACTGCCAAATATGCACTTTTTTTGTGTAACATAACTATAATGTATTTCAACTTCAACTAAGCTTTCTCATAGATTAACTTATATATGTCTTTATCACTGAGTTTGCACGGTACAAATGTCAAAGATGTTAATGAAAACAGACTTGCAGGTTACAGGTTTTAATTAAAAAAATGAAGTAAAAATTCCACCTTACCTTTCCTGTTTCGTCTGTGTCGTAGAGCTGCTCAATCACAGATGATTCTTCTGCAAGGCTTCTTAATGGACTGTGTGTGTGTGTGTGTCACACTGAAGCAGCTCACTGTCGCTCTGAATTACCACCACCTCCCTTCAGCCACCAATCACGTGTGTGTTGGCTTGTTTTCATCCACACCGTTGACACCATGAGCACAGACACACAGACTAAAGACTGAAGAGCCTGACATTAAATTGTGGCAGGTCAAGGCCAAGGATATAAAATAATTATTTTAAAAATGTAACACTTATTTGTGCTTAAGTTTATTTTGAAAGAAATATTGTTTTATCTATGATAGCTGGCCAACAGAAGTTAGAACCTTGTAAACTGGGGGAAGAATAACTCTCTTTTGCTTTACCCACTGACGGAGGTACACTTTGAAATGTTAAAAAACACACACAGTGACATTGCTGTTTACTTTCTCCTGATGGACCCTTAATTCTAGTATCATGGTCCTGAGGTGTTTTTTGTGTCAGCATGGCGTGACTGAACCGTGCAGCGCTCCAGCGGTCGAGTAAAAGCTCGGAATAGTAGGGTTTAGTGTCCCTCCACTCCAGTTGAGTTGTGATGGGCTCTGCCGGGTTAATCCTGCACTGACCCACTTTTTTAAAGGGCGAATACACAACATACACAAACCAACACAAGACGCCCACATTCAACAGGTGAATATCCACGTCACCCCCACAGCTCAAAGAGTTTGTGCACCGGCAGAATTTTAGACACACGTTTTTATTGAAGCAACATTGATAAAATTTGATTTAATGATCCTGTACAAAGAAACACGTCAATGACAAAAGACAAAATGAGTTGTTATAAGATCACTGTTAATGAACCTACAGAAGCTAAACAAATAATAAATGATCTAATCAAAGACTATGTACAGTAAATACAGTCAGGTTGTTCTGCTCGTCAACATCATATACACGCACAAATCCAAACTTACACAAAAATATGTACATGTGCTTTGCATGTGGTTCTTGTTTTCCCTCAGACAAAAGGATTAGAAAAAGATAAATGTCCTCCCAAAGCATTTTATCTATGTTTTTTTTCAGTGCCTGAGCTCTCAGCTGGATTTAAATGTTTCTTCAGATCTGGTTGATGTTGCAGCACGAACACAGATTTTATACAGGGCTGTAAGGGAAGGTCAAAGGTCATGTTTGTGTTGAATTTAGGAGAACACTGACGTAAAGAAAGGATCAGTAAGATGAGGAGGAAGAGGAGGAAGAGGAGGAAGAGGAGAGAGAGGAGGGTGGCAGTCTGACAGGCCAGCTGCCCACAAGTCCACCCCTGATTGGCTAAAAACAGAGGAAGCCCCTCCCTGGTCACAGGTAGACCCGTCTCAGGTCTCCAGGTGAGGTGATGGTGTTGCACTGAGGACACAATTTCTTTGCTCCCTGAAAAAAGAATAATTCATTAACATGTTGTGGAAAACTTCTTCATTTTGACATTTATATGATTCAAAGTGAAAATGTTTACCAGCGTACGAAGCCAACACTCCTCACAGTGAACGTGCCAGCACTGGATGGAGGTGAGCGGCGTTGTGTATGTGTCCTGTAGAGACAGAGATGATACAAGTGAGGGTGTGGTACAAAAAGCTGCCACTAGATGTCCACGTGAAACTGCACTAAGAGCTACAGGAGGAGAGGCTCCTTATCAATAAACTTTTATTTATGCATCTGTGATACATGAAAAGTTCTGGCTGTGGTGTTTACTCATTCATTACACTGTGCTGTGTTAGTTGTGTTAGAAGATAAAATGCAAACTGTTTTTCTTCATAAAATTTAAAATCTTTTGTGTGGAGTTAGCAACATTAGTGTGTTCAGATTTCATAAATGTACATATGTTTGTTTGTTTTGTTGTTATGTTGTATATGTTGCTTGTTGGGATACAAGACACAGAAGAGAAGTATTCTGATAATAACGTCATATTTTATGTCATTTACAAGAATCTGATCAAAGCTCCATCTGGACACAGGTCTTCACAAATAATGAATGATAAAGTTTAGTTGGGTGACGTTTCTACAGCCGGTAAAAAACAT